ATATGAGGGTAGTGAGAGATTTTCCAGGATGTTGCGCTGGCTTTTTACCGATATTTTGTTTAATCGAAATGAACGACACGTACTTAATCTCATGTGTGTTAAGTAAATGTGCGCGCCGATATTTTGGCGCGAAAAACAATAAGAGATAGAGTTGTGTTAATGTGCCATTGCGTATCGAACTTGCGCAAGTAGAGTTGTACTGTTTACGTTCGCAGACGGCCTCGCGCCAGAGGCACAGGATGTTTGTGCTCGCATCTCAAAGGGCTAGAAGACAGCGACGAGCCGTTCAAAAGTGACGGAGCGTGTTAAACGTGGCGTCCGGTTGTTGAATCCCAGCAGAGTATCGCAAGATTAGGCTGCTGATGTGCACATTATCTCGACTGCGACAAGTAACGCGTCGTTGGCGTATGGGCCAACGGATGTCGAAGGCGGATTTGCGTTAGCCGCTAGAATTTTTCACTGTCTTATGTTGGTTCCTGACGAAATTGTAGCTATTGGCATGCATAGGCGGTGCAGGAAAATGATGCGGGTTCTTGCGATGTTAGCACATACGTACGTTTCAACGATACAGCATACGTTCCTTCCATTTCGTTTATATGAATAGTTTCGACATTGAAAAGATTAATTAACGAATGTGCACTTGCAAGCATTTCTTTCGAGTCCTATGCAAGACCTCGCATTGGTTATACTTCCATTTAATACTGAATCATGCATTTGGATAAACAATTCTCTAACCACGGGTCAGACAATTTCGGAAATAATCAAAAAAATATTTCACGCGTATTTGCGTGATCAATCTGAACAGGGAGTAGAATGTTTCCCTGCCAAGGCGCTCGTATCTAATTAGCATGAAACCTACAATTTTCTCATATTACATTTTATAAGTTTAATTCCAATGAAAAGACCAATCGCTACAATACGCGGCATCAGTTGTTTTTTATTAACTAGGCCATAGGGCAAATGACGTCCGTTGCTCTCGGTGGCCGCAATGATCGTTACCGTGGGCCAGCCAACCAACTGGGCCGGTCAAATCGACGGAACGTGACATACGTACGTTTTGCATCGCTCATGTTTCGTTTAACGTTAGGGCAAAAATGTAAGAATGAAAGAATCAATCTAAAAAAAACTTACGTAAAATACTTCAACAAAATAAAATATTTTAACCAAACAAACAACGCGGGGATGTACTTTAACGAAATATATACAAATTACATTTGGAGGGAAAATAATAAAACTATAAGATCAGTAAAAACTAACTAACAAAAGCTGGTTCGAATCGTTATTCGCAAAACACTCAGCCCTACCCGCTCCAATAACCAATCGTCACGCACGTAGATCATCTCAAACCAGCGCCTTTTGCTGAAGCACTTTATGGTGAAGAGGCTTCCCCCGTTTCCCGAGCGCCACGATAAAACGTTGACCAGCCCTTCCTTCTTGTGAATCGCCTGGGCCTGAGAATGTCCATCATTCAACTTCTTTATCGGATACTGTAAAGCAGGGCTGTTGTGGAACAGCTTTATACTGGGGTTTTTATTTCTTGACGGCGTGAGGGCCTGTCTTCACTGATGGATATATCTACAGCATTTGGCGTTTTCTGCTAGTGCCGCGCAAGATGTCGTGTCCCGCGATCATCTAGCGGCAAGACCAGAAAGACGCCAACTGCCGGTGAGATATCCATCGTTGAAGTACGCCTCACGCGCTCGAAAATAAAAAACAAAATACTAATCTATCGGTGACCTGTTCACTCCCAGTTTTTTGTCTCAACCGGCCAATTCAATTCAGGGCCCCTTTCAATATGCCTTCTCCTAAATGACCGTCATATCACATATCCACGTCGTGCTGCTAGATGGTGCATGGTTGAGACCGCATTGAGACCGAGAAAGACGCGAAATGC